TACTCGGCGCTGCGGGAGAGGACGCGATGGCGCCGGCGGTCGATGTGCGGCAGGGCGGCCTCCCTCTTGGTCTTGTGGGCGACGTCCTGCTGCTGCTTGCTCCGGGTGAGGGCGTGGCGGATGGTGGCACGATGGTCGCCAGGGTGGAACGGAGCCTTGCCTTGGACGGACTTGGAGACCACCTTGGTGCTCGCGCGGGAAGCGGGGTAGGCGGCTGCGGCACGGTCGAGAGGGTCACGTATGCCGGTGCCGCCATGCCGGGCAGGCAGCAGCATCAGGTCGACCTCGGACGGCGTCACAGGGCCGCCGAGGAGGGCCGGCAGCAGCTCCTTGGCGATGGCCTCGCGGAGGGGGCTGAGAGCGCACTCGTCGGTGAGCACGACACGAAAGACGTAGTCCCACTCCATCTGCAGAGACCTCGTCATTGCCGCGTGGGCCGTGTGTGGGAAGTTGCGGGCAGCAGACGTGAGCGCGCGCACGCCGCGCACCCACCCCTCGACCTTCTCGCAGAGGAACGCCGCCCTTCCCCCCTCATCGCCCACGTAGCCGCCCAGGAACCTCTTGCCCGTGACGATCTGCACCCCCTCGGGCTCGAAGAGTTCCCTTGCGATCTGCTCGAGCTCGGGTTTGACGACGAGGAAGGACTTGGCGGTCTCTGGGTGATAGCCGTATGAGGGACCGATGCGACGCAGGGCTCGAAACCACACGAGGATGCCGTGAAGTTTGCCGAGCGCCGACGAGTCATCCGCATACCAGCACTGCCGCAGCGAAGCGCTAGATGAAGAGGCCGACGGGGCTGACGAGGCCGACAAACTCTCCTCCTCACCAACTCCAACACCTTCTACATCAGAACACACACATACACCCGCACCATCCCCCTCTGCTTCTGGTGGCGTGTCACTGGCTTCTTCTGGCCTCTCTTGCGCTTCTGATGGCGCGTTTTCGTTCTCGTCCATGTCTGACCCAGACCCATCGCTGCCTGACTCATCCCATGCCCCACTCGACGGCATCTCATATCCCTCCTCAGCGCAGGCAGCCCGCAGGGCATGGATGAGGGGAAGGCTGCCGCAGGCGTAGACGAACATCGCCATCGAATCGCCCTGTGTGACGCCTTCACAGCTCCACAGACAGCACGAGGTGCGATTGCTGCATTACAACACTTCCCCCACATCATGCGGCCGCTCCCATCTTTGGCACTTCCGCTTCTTTTCCTTGTTCTTCACGGGATGAGCCAAACGACAGACAAGCCCATCTACGAGATAGACGGGGCTGACTTCAGCACCCTGGACGGCTTCTACGATGCCCTTATGGCCGCCATGCCGCTGCCATCGTGGTTCGGGCGGAATCTGGACGCCCTCAACGACGTCTTCCGCGAATACTTCTGGCCGGACGGGCCATTTGTCCTTGTGTGGAAGAACCACGAGCTATCCAAGGAGCACTTCAACTACTACTACCACCCGAGCCACGAGAAGGTGCTGTTCGACTTGCTGGTCGAGATCATGACGGAGGGCGACGGAGAAGTCAGAGAGTGGGTGGAGCTGCGGCTCGAGTGACTGAGCCGAGTGTATGTATGCCGTGGAAGGCTGTGAGCACCATGGGGTGTCCGTGTGTCTGTCGGTGTGTCTGTCGGTGTCTGTCGATCTGCTGTGTTGGTCGACGGCGTGTAGTTTCACGGCACCAGGATGCGTGGTCGCATTGCTGCTCGCTGTAGGGTGCTTCATTCTGTGCTGTTCTGCTGCATGAGAAGAGCTCTTGATGGTGTGCGTGACGTCTTGATGGTGTGAGGAACCCGACACTGTATTTCAGACAGACTGAAGGCATGGATTTGTCTCAGCGACACACTGACAGTGAGTGTCAGCAGCAAGTTGGGGCTGGCCATGGCTGAGAGGCGGGAAGCAAGCAGGAGCAGCCATATTGACAACAGACACCACACCACACCACACCGCACGAACTGCCAGCACACACATTACATCAATCCCACCACAACGTACGAGCTACGGTCGTTCCTTTAATGGTACCCATACTTACAACACACACAACAGTTGGTCGAGATCATCACTCGGTCGCGGACGGAGGGAGCTCTGCCATCGCAGAGCTGGGCCGCCAACTCGTCGATCGACAGCAGTGAGAGGGGCGAAGCTGAAGGCCTCAGGTCAGACGCCCCTCCCACCGCTGACGTTCGACGAGCTGGCGGACCAACACACACACCCTTCCGCCTCTTAATTGTCTCACTGGTTGGACTAACTGACCCACCCA